TGAAACGACCTGTAGGAAGAGGGTTCAACCGGTATCCCATCATTGAGTTACAGGTACAGATGAAGTCGGGAACGACGCGTAATCGACGACGCGTAAACCCGGCAGAGGAACCGACCGACCGACCGACGCGGATTTGGATTCTTCTAAAAATAATACTCGTCGCGCGCGCGCCTAAACGAGAGAATGCGAACGCTGCTCCACTGCCGACCAAACATCATGCTGAATAAACGAACGAAGGAACGAACAAACGGATGGACGAACGAACAAACAAATGCATGTGAACCTTTCGAACTTGCGGATAGAATTCAAAGACGAATTTATTATGCGAATTAGTTTCCTCGAGGTCAAAGTATCACGATAGTCTGCTTTTTTAGTAGACTGCACTTTATTAAGTTTACTGCATGCAAAATGAAATCAATATAGGTATATTCAAGCTTTGAATGGAAAACGAGCAAAGGCAAACGTTGCGGAACGAGATGCGGTAAAAGTATAGTTGAAAATACAGATTTATTTGTAAATGTCTCTCGTTTCACGTGCAAAGAAGTATATCGGATTCTATGGCATTAAATCGAAAAGAGAGGAAAGTGTGCATGTAAGGAGAACAAAGAGAAAGAGGGAGGGAAGGAGGTAACCGAGAGAAATCTATTTATTGTAAGGGAAAAGATGTGAGTAAACACTGTTGCGCGCTTTAGAAATGCAAAACATGGGCAACTTGACTTAACCGTTATTTTTAAATGTAAATACTATGTCGACTGCTTTATCTGAATGAGTTCGCTTATCAGTCCGCAAACTTGTATATGTAAAGTAAGACGAAAACGTGCGACGATATCTCACGAGAGAAAAATGTATCTTAATGCGGCTTCTTCTTGTGTTACGCAAATCGTTTTAAGCTGAAAATACAAAACGAATACTGATGAACTAATAGCGAATTCGGTCACTTGCACTACACTAGATCAGTGCATCCTAAAAGCTGCTTTACATGAAATTAACAAAGTTAAATGTAAAAGTATATAAATATTTTAAACGATTAACTATCTATTAATGATAAGTTATTTAACAAAATATATGTATTATTTCATTGTCAAAGTTGATTATATTGTATCGCTGCATTGAGATATTTTATGTAAAGCAGCTTTCAATATGCACTGATCCAGTGTAATGCGAGTGATCGAATTCACATAAGTAATATAATAATTAAAATGAAAACTTTGACATTGTATTAATACAGTAAATGGCATTTTCGTTAATTCATCGATATCTCTCTCTCTCTCTCTCTCTCTCTCTCTCTCTCTCTCTCCTTCTCTCCCTTTCTGTAAAAATCTCTTCATTCGAGAATTCTTTCTTATTTTGATATCTAACAAAAAAAACTTATGGAGGAAAAAATGATAGATCAAAGCTGAAGAAAATCGAAGAATGAGGCTAAACTGAAATGAGAATAAATGAGTTTAAATTCAGAATGAGACTACATTTGCGAACTTAAAGTATGTTACATATGTATGTCGATTTATGCACAGAAAGAACGATTTGTTGAAGCAGCTAAAAAATTTAGCTAGATACAGGTCTGAAAATAAATTTTGTTACTTTATTAAAATAATTAAGGAGGTTGAAGGGACATAAAACACATATATTAATATTTACTTACTTTAAAAAAACCACATACATGTGAAAGTTGTGTTCGTAACATTCTGTTTTCATTGTGCGACACATTTTTATAGATTATTTATTTTATTTGTTATTAGTTTTATTGTTATAAACAAAAATTTTTTAAATAATAAAAATTTAAATTTTTTTATATAAATATATTAAGTACTAAACATGACTTATGCAAAGTTTCATTGAGATTCACCAATTAGTTTATAACAAATAAATATTTTATTTATTTACTGAACAATTAATGTCTGCATCTCAA